AAAATCATGTTTAATTTTTAATAAAATTAACTAATAATTAATAATTATTTTATATTTATATTTATTAATATTCGTAATAGTTAAATTTTATTAATATTTATTTATAATTAGTAGTAATAAATAATAATTAATATTATCGAGAGATATAATTGGAAAAAGTGACAAAATGCTATTCCAAGTAGTGTTTCAATAAGCTAGTTTAGAGCACGCGTTGAAACATATCATGGTTTCACAATAACTCATAAGGCTTGAAACTTGTTATTGCTATCACGTCAGTATCTCAAGCCATTTAGAACTTTGTATATGAGTTTGTATCGTCCCTCTTTATCCAAAAATCATGTACAACTACATCTTTATTTTGGTGAAGAAAGAAAATAAAAATAAATTTAAATAAAACAACTAAATGTATTCATATTCGGGTTTTTTACTTTCACAACGTTTTGTTGTGAAGTTTCAAATGTAAAAAAGTGGTTTCACGAAAACAGGTCGGTCTCACGTCCAAGTCTATACATACACACACACACACACATATATATATATATATATATATAGTTTATGGTGGAGGTTCAAACGAGAACATCTTCATTTTACGAGAACGCGAGAACACCCTTATCACATGTGATAATACGCGTGAGGGGACCTGGTGGTATACGGAAGACGTGTTCTACGATTTAGGCATCACCAAAGGTTGTTTGAGTCTATGATTTAGCATCACATTTGATGGTCTTGATGGATTATAATATCATATCAACAACACCCTTATCACATGTGATAATACATATGAGGGGGCTCAGTGGTGTAAGGGCGACTTGGCCCGCAACCAAGATCGCACCGAAAATCACCCGCGTCTCTGATTTAGTATCATATGTGTCATTTGTGATGTAATAATAACATCACATGTGATTGTCTATAGTAAATATATGTTCTCACGTTTTCGTAAAATGAAGGTGTTCTTTGTTTGAACCCTTCCTTATTATTTACTTTACCAAATAACGAACTTACAAGTATCCTATAACTTCATTACCATTTTTATACACCAAGTTTTTTTTGTAACAAGTTACATGCTTATGAAACAATTAAAATAAAGCTAGCTTTTAAAATAAAACATTAAAAGTTATTCTATTAGTTTTCTTTTTATATGACATTAATTTTATAACTATGTTATAAAGTAGAGTTGCATGAAAATATCCATGTTCGGCTTGAATTAAAAAGCTTGGGCCTAGTGAGCTCAAATCCAGTCCAAGTTAGGCCTCAAGGCCCGATTGGGCCAAAATTTTGGGAGCGGGTCCGGGCTTAAGTCGGGTCCCAAAAGAATGGCCTGAAAAAGTCTAAAATGGCACAATTAAGCTAGAAAAAGCCTCATCGAGCCTTTTTTTTAAACCCCAAAGCCCGGCCTAGCTATGACCTGGTCCAAAAAAGAACGGCATGAAAAGGGTCGCTTAAGCTTGAAAAATGCTTTTTTTTCAACCCCGAAGTCTGTGTCGAGTCAGACCTTTCTCTTTACTTACTGAAAATGGGTTTGAAAGGCTTGTGGATTATAAGTATAAAATTACGGTTTTATAAGAATAGAATTTATTAGATCGTTGAATCATAATATCTTCTTTTTCTAGTTGGGGAGACTTGGGATCATGTGAGATCAAGGGTTTTTTACGTAAGACCCTTAAGACCAATTCTCAACCGTTGGATTAAATCTACAATCTGAACATTCATAATCACAAAATTGCCGCAAGATTTCTCAATAATCACAAAATTGTCACCGTGCAACTTTAGATCATTAAATCATTAGCTGTAACTTTAGATCATTAAATCATTAGCTTATAAAGTTGATCAATGAACATAAATTGATCTTACAGGTCTCACGAAAAACCTTTGATCTCACGTGAACCCAATCCAGTTAGGATTTATAAGTAAAATGTTACTTAAAATAAAAAATTGAACAGTCAACAAACAGAAAACGTTTGATCCCCATTTTTCGTCTCAATCTTGCTTTGTAAACCCTAAAATCTTTTCTCAAATGCTCATCGTGCATGGCCATGCACATTGTGTGATTTAACCATAAACCTTTGAATATTGAAGAGATCAGCGATAAAGATCATGAACGTCCTCATCGGAACGACGACAACAACGTTAAACGACGAACCAAAACAACCGTTGTTAGAAGAAAAACCGACGAAAACCGTGGCACTTCGAAAAGCATTCAAGCTCACCGCTCATCTAGCCAACCTTCTTCCGACCGGCTCCGTTCTCGTGTTCCAGATCCTCTCCCCGATTTTCACCCACGAAGGCAAATGTCGGACCCAAGTTAGCCGGACTTTAACGTCGACCCTCCTCTCTCTTTGTGCAATCTCTTGCTTTTTCCTGTGCTTTACTGACAGCTTTCGCGATAGCGCTGGAAAGGTTCGTTATGGGATGGCGACCTTCTCGGGTTTATGGGTTATCGACGGGTTGGCTAAGGTTCCACCTGAGAAGGTTTGCGAGTATAAGGTGAAGGTTATTGATGTATTTCATGGGGTGTTATCGGTGACAGTTTTTGTGGTGATCGCCATTTTTGACAAGAATGTTGTCAACTGTTTCTATCCAGAACCATCGGAGGAGATGGCGGAGCTTCTGTGGATGTTGCCGATAGGTGTCGGAGTGTTATGCAGTCTCTTGTTTGCTGCATTTCCTACAACTCGACATGGGATCGGCTTTCCACTCTCCAAGAAGTAGAATTCATTGGGTTGGTTTGTTCGGTTCATTTGTATTTCAGATATGAACTGCATGTCAATTATTTAGGTGATTGCATAGGCTAAAACACTACAAAAGAAGAGGGTTTATAGACGAAAAAATTCGTCGGTAATTCACAGATGATGATTAATTCGTCGGTGATCTGTCGGTGATCTGTCGGTGATCCGTGGATGATCCGTCGGAAATAACAAGCAAGAAAATTTGTCTGTAAAGGCTCTTTTGTTTTGCTGTAGTGAAAAGGTGTATTTACCATATATTTGCAGGTTATGTCTTTAATTAAGAGTAGACTACAATTTTGATCCTATGGTTTACACTAAACCACTAACAAAGTTTTTCAATAATTACAATAATTGCAAGGGTTTATATATGAATCAGTTAAATAGTTTACATGTGAACTAATTAATCGTTCACATATGAACATATAGTTTATATTTGTATCAGATGGGTTCACATATAAATTTGTAGGTCGCCTATTCGTAAAAATTATGAAACTACCCTTCTATCTTCTGTATATCCATGCGATGAATTATCATGTGTTTCACGGTCAAAGCTGCAAATATTGACCAGATGAGAAGCTATGATCATTTTTACTTCTCAAATTAACCCCTCTCTCTCTCTCTCTCTCTCTCTCTATATATATATATATACAAAGAAATTAAATCAAATCATGAGAACCACAAATATGTTATAAACCCGTGAGAATCAATATAATTTTTTTTTACTATGATATATTTTCATCAAATGTTGTGATTTAAAATATTATTTCACATATATTTGTTTTATAATATGATAGTTTCATATGTAATTATTTCACCATGTAAATAATTTTTAGGTGTATTTTTTATTTCACATGATAAACCCATGTTTTTCCACATGTAATCTTTTCATAAGGTGAACACAAACATATGTGAAACAATATTTTAAATCATATGTTTTGATTAAAATATTTGTGATAACCAAGTTTTCGGTTATATAAGTTCGGGGTGATTTTTGAAAGATACTGGTAAGTGGAAGAATTTAGGGGTGTTTGGGATTGCTTATAAAAGCTGTTTTTTTAACTTATTTTAGTCTGGCACCGGTGATAAGTTGTTTTCTGGTGTTTGGATAGGAAAAAAAACTGTTTATACCGGTGCCAAACTGGTAATAAGCTGTTTTTGATAAGTTATTTCTTTCTGACTTATGAAAAACTGCTTATTACCAGTTTATAATTTTAACCCTGTTTTATTTAACTCCGGTTTGATACCACACAAGTTAATAAACACTTTTACAAAAAAAAAAAAAAAAACATAAGTTGTTTTAAATAAGCAATCCCAAACACCCCCTTAAATTGTTTATGTGTTAAGTGCTTACAATAATCTTTACTCTCTAAGATTTTCATGCATGATATATTATTTTATCCCATGGGAGAGTGTGAAAATTATGGTTTTAAAATATTAACCTTGCACCGTCTTTGAGTTATTTGTGGTGATAAGATTTATCTTATCTCATTGTTTTGAAAGAGAAAGAAAGAAAGAAAAACTTCACTGTGTGTTTTCTTGTGTGAAATCCTACGTGATTCTGTAAGAAGAAATTGATTCTATGGTTTTATTTAGAAGTTGTTGTTGTGTGAATTCATCTATATATGTACTTGAAAATAAAGTGAGGTTATGTTATCAACTTTCTCTATTTGGTATTTGAAATATTGATTCTTATATGGAAAGATGATAAAACCATTTCTTGAAGTTGTTTGAGCTTGATGATGAAATTGGGTATAGGACCGTACAGTTCTTTATATATGTTTGTGTTATGAAACTGTTTTGATGTCATTATTGGCAAAAATTATGGTTTTTGTTATGATTATATCTTTTGTAGGAATGAGGGTGTCATATCAAGGATGGGTGTACATTGAGATAAATGTGGCATATCAAGTGTACATTGGGATAAGGGTGACATATCAAGGAGAGATGTATATTAGGACAAGAGTGACATATCAAGGAGATGTGTATATTGGGATAAGGGTGGCAATTGTGAAATATGGGTTTTGATCATATCTTTTGTTTTCGCATCTTTGTGATGCGATGACCTTGAGTTATCGCATATGTGTGATGCGAGGACTTGGGTTGTCGCTTCCAGTTGATGTGATAAAGACGTTATTATGATAAGGAGGAAATTGTTTATAACCAGAGAGTCTTTGAATGGATGTGCTTTTGAATTAACCATGTTTTTGGGTTGGTCTGGTTTTTGTATGGCTTCATTTCAAGTTATTTTGATAAAATGAAGGGGTGATGAAGAATCAGATCAGCTCTGGTTGGTCTTTATGTTCAACCAGAGGGCTTCTGATTGTGTTGAGTTCTAAGATCTTTTTCAAATGTTTTATCATATCTTGACCCAGAGGCTTTGCATGTGCTATGTAGAGACTCTGTATTTGGAAGTTGAGATGTATATCCGAGCTCTATATCCAAGCTATGTTCAAACTTTGTATCCGAGCTCTTAATTCCAAGGCAATTTTTATGACTAAATCCTTTGGACTAAACCATATTCAAACTTAGTTTTTATATTGGCACTTAGAGCCTAGAGTATAGTTCAACCAGAAGGGCTCTGGTTGTCTAGAGGGCTTCTGGATTGGCCATGACTTGTGTTAATTTTGCTTCGAGATGGCCATGCTTCTAAGTGGCTTTTTCTTGAACTTCTGGTTGATAAACTAAATAGGCTCTAGACATCCAAAGGACCTTTGGTTGGTCATGCATTTTTAGTTAGTCCAAAAAGTGAGAGACAAGAAGCTCTGGTTGGTAAGACCAGAGGCCCTTGTCTTCTAGAGGAGCTCTGGTTGGCTTGCCTCTGGATTCATTTTACTTATGTCAATAATCAGCAGCTCTGGTTAGTCATATGTTTTGGTTGGCCTTGTCTTTTTATAAATTATTGCTTCTAGTTAACCTTTAGAGGGCTTATTTAAGTTTGGATTTGCTCTGGTTGATAGACCAGATGAGCTCTTGGTAGTCTCACAAAGTGTGATGAGAGGAGTTGAGAATCTTGCACAAGTGTGATGCGAGGAACTGAGTGGTCTCGCTCTGTGTGATGCGAGGAATTGAGATTTTCGCACTAGTGTGATACAAAAAATTGGGTTGGTCTCATCATTATGATGTGAGGAAATTTTATGAATTCCTATATGATGCGACAAGTTTTATCATGGGATAATTTTAAAAATATTGGGTGTTTGAATGCGATGCGATACCTGAGTTATGTTATGTTGTATAATTATAAATATGATTTTATAACATGTTTTGGTGAATTTCACTATGTAGTTGCATACAAAGGGATTTCTCACTAGACCTCAAGGTCTAACCTTCATTTTGTGTTTTAAAAATGTGCATTACTAGTCGGGCACTAGCAAGGGATAAGGGAAAAAGGAAAATGTGAGATTCCTTATATGTTTACTTGGACTATGGAGGAGAGTCGTTATCTGTTGATCTTAAATATTTGTTATATATGCAAGTGTTGTACAAGAATGTTGTGGAAAAATTTGTTAACTACTTTTATAATATAGTTTCTTGTACATATTGGGACCGAATGTGTAATATTGTGTTTCTTATTATATGAGATACATGGTTATATGCAAACGTGGATCTTAGGGTGTTAAAAAAATCATGTGAAAAAAGTATTTTTAATTATATCGATTGTCACGAGTTTGCAACATATTTTTAGTCTCATTTGACTATCGTCTTTTATATATATATATAGGGAAGATCAAATGTTAACCATCATTTTTGTGTTAACTTTGAAAACCCTCTCAACCAATCAAATTCCATTATTCTTATAGGTTTATATCTTGTTCATTTTACCTTTACAAGGTATTCTAGTAAATTGAATTCATTTGTAACCCCCAAACAATTAATGGGGAGTTACAAACAATCAAATCCCAA